GCCAAAATCATCCATGGCTGCCAGTATCACTGATGATTCCTTCTGGTCCTGCTGCTTTCTTTCTGTTCAATTTGATTCCACTTCAGATTTTAATATTTCTGGTCTTTCAATATTTTTGTGTATTGCCAGTTGTCCTCTTTTGTCATGGAAAACTTATCCGATATATTCATTTCATCTCTGAAATATTTTTTCTTTCTCCAATTGTCTAGAAAAAGAAAATGTATTGAACCTTTGGAAATAGATCCAAAGAAAAAAAGATATTAAAAAAATACCGCTACGCAAAATTTTCAGAAGTGGGGTGTTATGGGACCTTACCCATAATAACATAATGTCACATCCTTGCATCTTGTTGATGAGCATGTCTTTTGTGCTGTTCTCTTTTTTTTTCATGCATATCTTCTTTATCTGTGATATTCATTCTTTCTATTTCTGCATTTGTTTCCAATTTCTTTATGCAGTGTCTTATATTCTGTGCCATACCTTGGCATTGTATTTTGCTCTCCTTTTTATTATGTCAAGAATTTCATGTCATCCGTTCCTTTTTTCCACTGTCTAGTTTTCTTTAGAATGACTTTGATTGGTGATGTTACTAAAGCTTCTTAATTTTTCACACTTCAAGTTTCCAATCTCAGTTTGACCATTGTATCTGCTTATCACACTTTCCATATATTTAGCTATCACATTTTGATCATTCAGGAGTCTGTTGTGTACTACTAGTATAAAACTGCATTACTGAATCTCTTATTGATAGCTTGATAGTCAATTTGGTTTTTCTTTTCTCCTCCTGTGATTCTCCATGACCATATATGTCTTTAGTGTTGTTGAAACTAGGTGTTGGCTACTACTTGATCATTAGCTGTGCACCATTGGGCCCATTTTTCTCAGCATTCATTACAAGTTCCTTATACGAATTTACCAACTATTTCTCTCTCTCCTTATTTACTTTGGCATTCAGGTCTCCCATGATGATTGTAATTTGAATTGAGCCTTGGCATTGTGGTACAGTAAAACTTTTTTCTTCTGTACTTTGTGGTGTCAGTACATATACAACTACATTGTATATGTTGAAAGACTTTCCTTTCAATTTAACCACAAGAGTTCTTTTAGGCACTTGATAGTATCCCAAAACACATTTCTTCATGTCTTGGTCTAGTATGAATCCTACTCTTCTTTCATTTTCCTCTCCACTAACATATATGATCCATTGTTTGTCACTGACAAAATCTCTATTGTTTGCCTACCTCGTCTCACACACACTTAAAATATTAATATTTAACCTATTCATTTTCTACTTTATATTTTCTGACTAATTTTTCACATTGATTTAGTGTTCTCACTTTCCATGTTCTGAGAATTATTATTTGTTTGATGGGAACAGTTGCTGAATGATGGTCCAGTGACACCTGTCACTCATGCCTTCCCTTACTGGGCAAGGGATCAATTCCAAGTAGTTTCACCCACTTTACACAGTTGTGACAGGAAAGCTAATTTGGATGCTGTATCTGACATACTCTGTAAATGAGAAGGTTCTTAAATTGGACAGCATCTTTTTGCATTTTGCTATTTTCAGGTCCTTATAAAATAAAAGTACATAAGATACACCAAAGCTGTTTATATTTTTTGTAATCTACAGTAAACATTAACTATTATCACTAAGTTTCAAATCTGCACATGCAATATCCTTGGAACAATGAGTGTCAGAAGTTCATTGAAAGCCTTATTTAGTAAAATTCAAAAATGCAGTGAAATTTTAAGATGCCCTAGTTTGAAAACTATTAAAAGATATTTGGGATTTACCAATTTTGATCAAGGAACACCTGTGAATTTTCCCAAATTTTTCTGAGAGGGTCACTTGTGGCTGTTGGTTGACATGAGATGGAATGACCCATAAACAAATAGACAGGATTGCAATGTGAAATCTTTCTGGGCCAACAATGGCAAAATATTTTCATTTTTTTTTTTATTTTAGCAAGATTTCCTTGCATACATTGAAGAACCCAAGTATTTTAGATATGTGGATGACACTTTTATGTTTTAAAAATGAGGTTGAAGCTGAAGTGTTCAATCAGTCACTTAATATATTGCACATGCTGTTGCATTTCACATATGAAAAAGAGAACAATGATGTTCTTTCTTTTCTTGATGCCATGGTACACAGATTAGATACCAGATTTCTGATATCACTGTACCAGACCTAATGGGATTCCTTCTGGTTTAAACAGCAGAAAATTAACTTGATTAAAATCTTGGTTCATCGATTGGTAATATATTTGGTAATGAAATTGGATTCTGAAATTTTATTAGGAAGGTTTTGAGTGGGAATGGTTACTCTTTGCGAATTGTGGAATCCAGCATTAGAGATAAAAATATGACAATTTCATAAGCCTAGACTGACTGAATCTCCAGAAATGTTTCAATTATTTGTGTGCATTGGTGAGATGAGTGTGAGATTTGCTAAGCAATTTTCAGTTGCCATTATTTTTCCACAAATCCATGTAGGGTTTCCTGTGCCCATCCTATATCGAAACCAATCCAGAAGGATCATCTGCCTTATCATATCAGTTCCATAATTTACTGATTTATATGTCAGTGTAGTGCTATGTAGGCAAAATGAGTCAAAGGTTGGAAGCCAACACATACCAGCCAATATTCACAAAGATGGACAATTTATATGGTTGTATATTTTTAGTTGCTATGTACATTTTTGTTGTTGTTTTCTTGCTCTGAAAAGAGAGGACCAAAAACTAGTTTAGCTGTTTTTTTAATCATTGTTTTATTTTGGTATCACCATTTTATGGTAATACATATTTTTTCTTACCCCTTTCTTTTTTGTTATAAATTGCTTTTCAATATGTCTGTCTTTATTGCTTTAATAAAATGTTCAATATGTTACTAACTTTTTTTAAGGACATTTTTAAGAGATGACAAATTAGAAAATATATATTTAAAAAAATTGAAGATTGCCATTCTAGCTTATAGCTGGACTAAAGAGTAAAAAAATATAAACTACTTTTTTTTTGTTTTCATATCCCAAGTCAAATACCATAATCATTTGTGCAATAAGATTTTGGATTGTTTTTCAATTGGAAGCTAAGACAGAAAATATGTTCTGATAGAAAATCATTTTTTTATTATCTTGAGCTGGAAAAAGAATTATTGACTCTTTCTTTTACTGCTATATATCCTGTAACATTCATGTAGACACAGATGTTTATGGAAGATATCCTATACAAATCTATATATCAGAATAATTGTGCATAATTGAAAGCCAAAATGAGAAAATAACAATCAAAACATGTTCCTTATAAAGACAAAATGCATTACTTAGGAGGTTTTTTTTTTTCTATTTTGTCATTTGATTACCCACTTACATTTATATATGTTTGGATGAAAGTAACAAAGTATTTTTTAAATTTTAATCTTTGTTTTTTTTATACTTCAGTGAAGAGTTTGCAAAATGGAGACCATAATTATGAGCTTGAATGCTTTTCTCTCAACCCTCTAGTCATTTCTAAAATTAGAAACTGCTGATGTTGAGGCTGTTCAATTTAACATTAATGACATTAATACATAAGATACAAATTATGTTTTCCAAGCTGTATATATCAACCATTAAAAATATTTCAAATACAATTAAATTCATGCCAGTAAAAATGATGGGCAATACACGTACATGCTGTTAAGTTCCAAAGTTACAACTGTTAGTAGACATGGTATCACAAAAGCGAAGGGATCAAGTTTGAAGCCAGTGTTGCAGTTTTAAATTCAGAATTATATTATGATAAAAAATGTACACCATGTCTAAAGAGCTCCAATTAAAGAAGAAACTTTAAATAGAAAGACTAGACATGTTGAGCAAAGGGGAGAGAACTCTTGTATTACTAAGAATATAACAATAAAGATAAACTAATATAAACATTAAGGATCCAAAACATGACAATATATTTTGAATCATCAGCCTATAAATTTCTTAGTTGAGATTTCTTCCATTAGCTTCTAAGGCAAAACAGCTTAATAAATGTTTGTATATAATTATTATAAGGAGTTAAACTGATCGTTTCTAACAAATATACTGAATTACTTTTATAAAGTGATTATATTTGATTGCAGAATAATAAGAATTTTATAAGATATTAAAAATTACCATCCCCTGCAGTATAATAAATGCTAGTCATGAGATGATATTCCAGGAAAATATGCATGGTTGGTTGTTCCAATTACAGAACTGGAACATAAAAACCATAAAGAAATCAGATAAGTAAACTTTACACATGGTTTATTATTCTAAGTGATAAAAAGACATTAGAGCAAAAAAGAAACTCATAACATATATCAGAGATGAGAAGGGAAAAATGAAAAAAAAAAAACTATTATGTATACTTTTCATTTATCAACAAATTGCTGCTGACAAAGAGACAAACTCAAGAACATACAATTAATGAATAATAACACTGGCAAAAACAAATTGTAATGCATGCAGTTTGGGCTAACTACAAGCTGTTACATGCAAATAATATATCATAAGGATCTAATAGTAAGAGAAATAATGAACAATAATAATTTTTTATCAAATTTTGAATTAACTTAAAAAACTGAAGAATAACTTTACTCAATGTTATATAAATGCACTAACTGCAGTCAGTTATGTGCCATGCATGATACACACTTAAGTGATGATATATCTTTCAATACATGACTGATGAGGCAGATTTTTTTCCCTGCAGTAATTTGCCATTTCTTTCTGCAGTAGACCAGTAGCCATCCAAGGCAAGGTATTCTCCTGTAGCTGGGGCAAGAAGAAAAGGATTAATACCTCTCCCAAGTGAATGTAATGGCTACTACATTGATTACATTTAAACTTGAAAGAAACTGTAAAAGAAGCAGAATTTTATAACTGAAGTTGTTGCTGTTTTCAAATTAAAAGAACACACAGATAGTATCATACCAAAAACATTGAGCTGAACAATAAAAAAAAAAAGGAAAAAATGATAAAATATTACCTGAGTGGTTACTGGTTGATATGAGCTTACAGTTGTATGTTGTGGCTGTGTTTGAGAACCTCGACCTGAATAGCCAGTAACAATGCTGCCCTATAACAAAAGTATTTATTAACTTATTTCAAATTCAGTATAAAATAGATTTAAATCTGAAGTATGTAGCAAGAGAGAAAAAAAAAAAAGAGTTGGAGCCAATACAAACAAAAAGAACTTTTTTTAAAAATTTTAACTTACAAATAAATTCTTACAAGTGTTAGTTTTAACTGAAAATCTTAAATTTTACCCATTGACACCAAAGTAAAGATTTATTACTAATAAATCAATGTTTCAGTAAATAAATTGTTAGTATAAATGTGTTGGTGACAGAGCGTAATCATTTATACAAAAATTATAGCAATATTTCATCATTAATATTGTAAATTAAATAAAAGCAAAATTATAAAACAAAAACAGATACTTTAGGTTGAGAATTTTGCTGAATTTGTAATGGTCGAGTCATCAGGGTTTGCTGCTGATTAGTAATAGGTGTAATTCCTCGGATATGTGACTGTAAAGAAATAAAAATACAACCCAGAGCAAACAGTGATGCAATATTCTACAAATTCGTATTCAACAATATAAACAAACAAAAATTTGGGTGTTTTTGGCAAACTCAATGAAAAAAAAATGTAATTTAATTTTAGATTATAATAACTGCAACTGTCACAAAAGGATTGTGCAAAAATTAATATATTTCAATTGATTTTAATTTTAAATACAATATGCCCTTTAGAAAAGAAAAATTAGTTTGGTCTTGAATTTGTTACCTTTTCACAGAAGAGAACTGACAAATCTACCTGTTGTGTGTTTATATTTTTAGAATGAGAGAGTCTTTGTGATCTTTCAATATAATAATGTTCTATAATTAAAGTATTTTTACTTTTTGTTTACACTGAATGGAAAAAAGTGGAAAAATAGTAGAATCTGACAATAACATCAACTGGTGCTAAAATTATATGATCCTGCAGAACTGAGGTCAGGAAAAGTGGAACTATCATACTTTCATTTACAGAAAAAAATTCAGTAACCTTTTTTGCATTATTAATTTTACAAAAGCACATAAACCATATATTTCAAAAATGAAAATTTTATACTACTAAAAGTACATAAACAAATACATCTGTTGTTTTTTTTTTTTTTTTTTTTTTCTTTATTTTTTTTTTTTTTACTAAAACAAACCTTTCAGCCAGCCCAATACAAATATTTGGTGTTAAAACTTTGACCTCCCATTTCCATAATTATTCAGACATGAGAATAAAATAGAAAGGAAATGAATACAAGAAAAACATGTGCGGGCTTCATTTTCTTCAAAAGAAATCCTTATGACATTATCAAAACATTGAGTAGTTAATATCACAGCTGATTAAAACAAGAAAACACTTTGATTATATTATTAACTGTTCAATCATTATGACAAGCAAAAATGATTTGAACCTATTACAAAAATGTTCTTTCTTCACCAGCTCTATTTTTACAAGTGTGATCCTCATACTGTCAGTTTTGCAATATCTTTTGAAAGAGACCTGTAGCATTTGGTTGGATCTTCTTGTTTAACTGGAGAATATTTGCAACCAGTCAGGATGTACATAAGGGTCATGGTATCTATTTTGCATTGTATCAGTCAGATCATCTTCACACACATTTATAAAACAGTCATTGAGAGCAATATGACAACCATAATAATTAAAGTATGATATACTTGTACAGATAAATCAATATGAAGAAATATATATATATATATATATATATATATATAGCTGTATGCATAGGTACCTTCATGAGATTGCTAAAAATAGAGCATAGTCTGATGAAAAAGATGCCAAACTTGACAAAAACAAAATTTTATCATCTAAATGTTTATGTTATTATTAAGAGAAAAGACTGAAGTATTTAATTATTTTTAAAATTTTTTCCTGCTTTTTAGAACATTCTAAATTTTGATTAAAAAAATCTTGTTTCTCTTTGTATCACCAGAACTAGTAAAATAACATAAATTTTTATCACGTTTCTTTTTGTATGACAGATATTAATTTGGAAAATCTTGCAAAAATAAAAATAATAGTCAGGTGTTAATGAAACTTTAAGAAACTATTCACAAATGGTGGAAATTATTATCAATATGTTTTCTTTTTTTAAAGTCATGGCAAAAATATTTTTTTAATGTTTATTACTCCCTGCCCCATAACTAATTTTATGAAAACTCTAGAAATTCAATCACATTCAGTTTAGTGATTATATTAGTTAAAAGCACAAGGCTTTGAGGAAAGCAAATAATATATTTTTTTTAATTAGACCCCCCCCCCACACCTGAAAATCAGCTCTGAATTGTAACATACAAAACTCAATAAAACAAAGATATTTAATTTCAAATGCTTTTATTTGCTTTTAGTTGTTTTTATGAATATGGACAATATTTTTTGAAAGCAAAAAATTTTATCGATGAAAAATGAATTTTTAATACAATTATTTGTTACTTCTTTAATTATTTCAGATTTTTACATTTAAGTTGTTAAAATATTATAAAATTAGTTGAAAGTCACATTCAATTTTGCAAATGTCCTTATGAGATAGATCATTTTTTAGCACACTGTAAATTGTATAATTTTGACCAATCAGAAGACTCAAAGTAATTAAGAAATGTAATTTTGTGTTTATAATATGGCTGTAATTATAAAGTATGGAAGACTAGCAAGAATACAATTAAGTTGCATTATTTGAGTTAAGCATTGTTCTCCACTGTTAAGGCCTTTATTTTTGTGAAACATGTGTGGAGAAGTTAATTTGATTTTTCAATTTCAACTGAGAAAAAATTGACCAAGAACTCGAAAGACTAACGAGAATTGGTGTGATCTCGAAAACGGAATACAGTGACTGGGCAGCGCCGGCTGTCTACGTAAAGAAGAAGTCGGTCGAAATTCGCGTCTGTGCTGATTTTTCAACCGGGTTAAATGATGCAATAGAAGAGTATCACTATCCACTACCAAGTCCCAAGAAGTGTTCATAAAAGTTAAATGGTGTAAAAAATCTTTTTAAAAATAGATCTTAGCGAGGCATACTTGCAAGTACCCATGGATAAATAAAGCGCAAAGTTGCTATGCATTAACACGCATAAAGGCTTGTTCAGATACGAATGTTTACCGTTCAGGATGAAGACAGCACCCGCAATATTCCAGAAAATTATGGATACTATGTTATCCAGGTTAGACTACACATACGATATACTCGTGAAAAGTGAATTGGTGGATGAACACAAACACCATTTACGCAAAGTTTGCGAAAGGTTAAGAAGCTATGGATTTAGAGTGAAAGAAAATAAATGCGATTTTCTCCTGGAGGAGATCAAGTATCTGGGACATATAGTGAATAAAGAAGGGAATAAGCCAGATAAAAGTCGAGCATCAGCAATAAAAGATATGCCTGAGCCAAAAGATATTAAATCCCTACAAAGTTTTTTAGGCTTGGTGTCATATTACCAGGATTTTATCCCAGACCTCCACATTCTACAAGCTCCCCTTAACGATCTACTAAAAAAAGAAAAACCTTGGATTTGGACAAAAGAATGCGAGCAAGCATTTAAGTATATAAAAGAAAAATTGACATCAGATTATTTCTGGTACATTTTGATCCAAAGGTAGATATCATCATGGCAAGCGATGCCAGTACACACGGCGTAGGTGCGTGCATATTGCACAAGTGGAAGGATGGTAAAGTTTGACCAATTGCTCATGCAAGCAGATCGCTACTACCTGCTGAACGAAACTATTCACAAATTGAGAAAGAGGCATTGGCAATTATCTTCGCTGTAACAAAATTCCATCGATACATACATGGACGGTATTTCACGCTACAGACAGACCACAAGCCTCTGGTAATGATATTCGGTTCAAAAAAGTGTCTGCAAACATACACCGCAAATAGATTGCTTAGGTGGGGGACAATTTTGTTAAATTATAATTTTAGAATACAATATTTGTCCACCCACAAAATTGGTCACGCAGATGATCTATCTAGACTCATTCCAAAAGCAACAGAACCTTTAGAGGATACGGTAATTGCATTCCTCAGAGCAGAGGACGAGGTTGAAGAAAATTTGGTGAACGCAATTCGAGAATTACCAGTATCGCTTAAGGACATCAAAAAAGAGGCAGAAAAGGACAAATATATAATAGAAATAAAAAGATAAGCTAGCTAGTAAAGACGAAAAAATTCAAGAGACATTCTCTCTGTGTGATAATGTACTAATATACAGTGAAAGGGTAGTAATCCCTAGCACACTCCAAAAAAGAATACTAAAAGATTTTCATGCTGGTCACCCGGCATAAATAGAATGAAGAGCCTCATGAGAGCATACGTCTACTGGCCAGGTATGGACAACGACATCGTCCGACTATGGTCGGCAGATGTAAAGGCTGCATTTTGGCATCAAAATCACCACAAATTCTACAGAAGCCATGGCCAAAAACTGACAGGCCATGGTCAAGGATTCATATTGATTTTATGGGTCCAATTGACGGGTGGCATTATTTGGTCGTAGTTGACAGCTTTAATAAACAAATCAAGTTTTCCAAATGAAGAGGCCAACATCTCAAAATACAATTAATAAATTGCATGAACTATTTGCAAGGTTTGGAGTGGTAGATACTGTAGTTAGTGACAACGGTACTCAATTCACAAGCAAAGAATTCGCAGAATTCTGCCAAAATTTCCAAGTGGATCACATGAGGATTCCTCCGTATCACCCACGCAGCAACAGACTAGCCAAAAGGTTTGTCGATACGCTGAAAAGGGCTCTTAGGAAAGCAACGGGTACCCCGACTAGAAAGGCATTACAGCTATTCCTGCAAGTATACCGCATTACTTCGAATAAATCTGCCCCATCAAGCCTATCACCTGCAGAGCTAATGTTTGCAAGGAAGATCAGATCTGCATTTGATAAGTTGATACCTGAAAATAAGGTACACACACCAGTCACTATGGTTCCTAAGCGAAAATTTCACATAAATGAAAAAGTTTTTTTTCAAAAATTATAAAAATAATGCAACATCGTGGGAACCAGGAGTCATACAAAAGCGGATTGGGAATATGGTATATATTGTACAGGGAAAAAAATTTACCCATAAAAGGCACATCAACCAGCTAAAGAAAAGGAGTACCGAAGAATCGGAAGAAACTCCACAAGAAGATGAATTATATGAATTGTATGATACTTTTGATCTACAAATACCACAGACAGAGCAAAAACAGCGCAGATCTGGTAGAAAAGCGAAAAGCGACGCAACAATTCATAATGGACACGAAAAGGAAAAAATATTGAAAAAAAAAAAATTTTTTTCACAATGTAAAAAACAATGGGGGGGGGGCACCCACCTTCTGACTGATAATGGACTTATCCCTCTACGATGTAAGTCAGTGCTAGAGAGAGTAGGTGTGTTGTGTGAAGGAGCAGGTTCAGCGACAACAGTCGAGATCAGGTTACCATTACATACTGTTGGACTGTAGACTTTTGCT